ACCATAAAAGACAAAGAAGGACACTATATAATGATTAAAGGGACAATCCATCATGAAGACAGAACCATAACAAACATCTACACACCCAATGACAGGGCTCCAAAATACATAAAACAAACTAACAGCACTGAAAAGAGAAATTGACAGTTCCACAACAGTAGGAGTCTTCAACACACCACTCTCGGTAAAGGACAGAACATCTAGAAAGAAACTCAACAAAGATACAGAAGACCTAAAGGGCACAAATCAGCCAACTTGACTTCATAGACATGTATAGAACACACCACCCAAAAGCTGCAAAGTACACATTCTTTTCCAACGCACATGGAACGTTCTCCTGAATAGACCACATCTTAGGCCACAGAGCAACCCTCAACAAAATCCAAAACACTGAGATAATACAAAGCATCGTCTCTAACCACAATGACATTAAGGTAGAAGTTAACAAGTAAGGAAAAAAAATCAATTACATGGAAACTGAATAACACCCTGCTTACAAACCACTAGATAATAGAAGAAATCACAGATGGAATAAAAAAGTTCCTAGACTCAAACGAGAATGAAAACACATTGTACCAAAACCTCTGGGACACAGCAAAGGAAGTCCTCAGAGGACAGTTTATAGCAATAGATGCACACATCAAAAAAGAACACAGGGACAAAATCAAAATACGAACCATGCAACTCGAACGAATAGAAAGAGAACAGCAAAAAAAGCCCACAGCCACCAGAAGAAAGGCAATAATAAAGACCAGAGCAGAAATAAATGAAATAGAGAATAGAAAAACAACAGAAAGAATCAACAAAACCACAAGCTGGTTCTTTGAAAGGATTAACAAACCGACAAACCACTGGCCAAACTGACAAAAGAAAAACAGGAGAGGGCCAAATAACCCAAATAACAAATGAAATGGAGGACATGACAACAGACCCAACAGAAATAAAAAGGATCATAATAGAGTATTATGAAAAACTATACTCCAACAAATTTGAAAACCTAGAGGAAATGGATAAATTTCTAGAAACACGCTACCTAAGCAAACTACAACAAAGTGATGTTGAAAATCTGAACAGACCCATAACAAGAGAAGAGATTGAGATCCTGGGGCAAGATGGCGGTCTAGGCAGAAGCACCACGCCGTCCCTCCACAACAAAGATCCGAAAAACTAAGCCAAACAGAGAATCAACAATCCTGAAACCCTAGAACATCAAATG